GCCAAAAGAATAGAAAAAATGGAGAGGGAAAATTTCATGCTAACTCTCGATGTTGAATTTCATGCCAAACAGTTTGTAATGATGAGAAAAAGAAAATATGTGGTGGAAGTTGATCTAGAAGACCTAAAAAAGGATTATCAAAAGCTATGACGAGCCAGAAGAGGATTTTGGTCGAGTAAAGCACCACAATAATGGGCTAGAGAATTAGCATTTGTAAAGCGACGAATTAAAAGTCTTGAGGTCGAAAATAAGTGTCAGATCAAGAGGATAGAAACTGGAAAGGAAAAAATATGAAAGCTAGAAGCCGATAAGAAAGAATTGATAAAGCAATATAAAGTCGGGGCTCGTAGAGTTCAAAGACTCAAAGAAGAGAAAGAAATTAGCCTAAAAGAATTAGAGGGAGCAAAATCGAGTCAGGGGTTGAAAACTGAGATGAATAGCATAATTGAGGATTTCAAATATAAAGATCGAAGAATTATAGAGCTTGAAGAGGAAAAAGAGTGAAAGAAGGATGAGATATGGTCTGAAAGGCTAGGATGGAGTCGAATCCTCGATAGAAAGCAGGAAGATATTGTATCATGGATGCAAAGATTCTCCTCAAAAAGTCAGCAAGTGGATGAGCTCACTAAAGAAATGGGAGAATTACAAATAAGATTTGAAGAAGAGCTAAACAAATATCGAGCCATGAATAATAAGCTTAAAAATCATGTATCAAACCTTGAGCAATCTCTACTTCAACTGCAAGTTCCTCCCGCGCCAATAGACTTAAGAGAAAGCCTTCCAGAAGGAAATCAAAGAGATGAAAGACGAACTCCAACAATGCTTAATTCAAATCACTAACCTAGAAAAAGAGATCAAACGCATCAATGTTGGGTGGAAAAACACATATGAACATTACCGCTCTCTGGTATAAGAACATGAACGCATGATGGGTGAAGCCATAACACAAATGGGTGAAGTTGCTCGGTATATGAATGAATTGGCCAATAGAGCTGAGATCATCCAACTCCAAACAAATCCATTTTCTGAATATTCGAGGGAGGTCAGTGCAATTATGAATGAAATAGTAGAGCTGAATCTGAGGGCTAGACCTTATATGCAACCGAACTCTTTTGTAATGAGTGAAACTTTTCATCCAATGAAAATTATTTTAAAATGGTTATTGCTTGGATCAACACCTTTTATTTGCATTTTGCACTTGTAATATTCATTATGCATAAACAATTCATCATTCATAATGCATTACAAATAATCTTCATTCAAATTTAAAAGAACTACAAAATTAATTTTTGAAGGGTTATGTGACAGACGATACTGGCAAGTAAAAATACCAATCCTTATCGCACACGAAGGAAAACCATGGATGCCAAGCTTGAGCAATTAAAGAAGGAAATGCAAGAAGATTTGTTAAGAATGCAATAAGAATGGGAGGCAAAAATGGAAAAGTCACAGAAATTAGTTATAGAACAAATCTTGCAAAGACAAGCTAGTATGGTGAATGATATTGTGACCAAAATGTTTGGGTTGCGTACTGAAACAGAAAAAGAACCAAGTACTACCACAGTTGAAACTTCGGGCATGCTACAACATAATCTACCCCGAGATTAGTTATCTTACCTAAAAAGCTTATTGAGCACTCTGCAAGATCTCCAGCAGTCAAATTTCAAATGGCCACAACAAGTCCCCAAAATAGCGCTCATGATTACATTGATATAGATCACGAGGAAGAAGAGAAATCTAATACTGAGGTGCCAGAACATCTAAAAGACTGGTGCAATCTAAAAGACTGGTGCAAGGTCTTTTTCAAATAAATGGGAATGTAAGGCTCTCAAGATGGAATGGATACAACAAAACTGAGCCTAGTGCCAGAATTAATCCTACCCCCATAGTTCAAAATGCCAGAATTTGAGAAATATGATGGGAAAACTTTCCTTGTTTCTCATTTGAATATGTTTTACCAAAGAATGATGGGATTTGTAAAGGATGATAGATTATTGATTCATTGCTTCCAAGTTAGCTTGATATGATCAGCTGGCAGATGGTATAACCAGTTGACCCAAGCCAAGATAGGGTCATGGAAGGATTTGACAAATGCTTTTAAAGAACAATACCAGCACGTTACAGATATGATGCATGATAGTGTTACTCTCCAAAACATGGAGATGAAATATAACAAGAGCTTTCGTCAATATGGTGGGTGTCGAATCCAAAAAATAATAATACATGCTTTGAGAAATATAAATTGTAGTAGCGATAAACAAGGTCGAATCCACAGGGATTGGGTAGACTTATTTTAATGAGAATTAAAATAAATAAAGGGGGTTTTGAAATTGAGAGAAATAAAAAGAAAAAAACAATATAATCAACTAAGAATTTAGAGAAATCAGTATCAAGCAAATATCCAACTAAAGGTATAATTTCAGAATTGGTTCAGAGAATTGATCATAGATGGAATGATAAAATCTTCTACTTTTCACTAAATTGGTTATGGTTATTGAGAAGCTCTAACAACCTGTCTCTCCTTAGTTTCTTGATAATCAAGAGAAGCTCTTTGATTATTTTCCTTGTTAATGAACAAACCTAGACAAGCTCTTAAGATTTAATCCACCAACAACATTAACCACTATAGGGACCACCAATTCTAGCCAACGAATACACAAGCTCGATTCATTTAGACTAGGTTATATATCTTCATAACATAATCAAAATCAACTATGTTACTTTACCACTAATATTAGAACGTTTAAACAACTACAGATTTAAAGTTCTAAATGGCAATTTATCAACATGATAATTGAACAACAAGCCCTTTGCACAGTCAATCAAGACAATAATTCTTAATAAAAACAGAAGATATATATATAGAAAAGAAGTAAAGGAACAAAGAAAATTATTTAGATCTCACAATCCTTGAAGAACCAAAACTTCAATTATCCTCCAGTTGGAACAAAAGTATTTAGCTGCTCATAATTGAAAGAACACCAAAACAAAAACTTAAAGAAAACTTAATGAAAAACTTGATGTAAAACTTATGCCTCTTATGAAAGCCCTAGCTCCCCTTCTATAAGGATTTTCCTATTCTAGATAAGGAAATTTCTCTTAAAGAAAATCCCACAAAAATAGGGGTTTTAAATGCCCTCATCATTTTTTAAAGATAAGAATAATTCAAAAGAGTCTTCCAGCCGTCATTAAACTCATTTCCCTTGTAAATTTGTAACCCTAATTTAGGGTTGTACAGACTGGTAAGGCACGCCCACGCCTTAACTGAAGACTTCTTCTATGATAGCTCAGGATGAATAAGCCGTGCCCACACCTTATGCAAAAACCTTATGCAAAAACCTCTTCTGGTCTTGCCAACTTCTTGAATTCTAATTTTTCCTCCTTAATTTGGGGATTTTGTGAAGATCGTGCTAATCATTATATTTTGAAATTGTTTTATCCAAATCTTCAACCTAATCCACAAAATATGAAATATAATCAAAATCCATGATTTAAGCAATTTTAATTATTCAAATATGAGGAAAATATCATAGAATATATGTCTAATATGCATCTTATCAAATTCCACCACACTTAAACCAATGCTTGTCCTCAAGCATACTATACTTCAAATTCATAACTCTTCTCAACATCTATCATTATTCTTCCTTTGCTCATCCCTCCATAATCAAAATAGTCATGCCTTAAAGACTCAAAATCTAGACACAAGTAAAGAATGAGCAATTCGTAGAAGAAATTATCATAAACCAACACACATGAATAATCACTCCATCAATCTTTTCAAAATCAAAATGCGGTGGGATCTAATACCCTCACATTGGATTCACTCAATACGCTCGAAGTGTTTAAGGGTGTCAACAAACTCTCAAGCCAAAACATAGAAAGCTTTTTACCATAGGCTTGCTAACCTATCACATCCCTACCACTAATCAATGAATTGAATGCACAAAAACCTCAGGGTCTTAAACAGGGTGTAATGGGGCTTAGGTGAAGTTTGGTAGGAAATGAATTTGAGCTGTTTTATCGATTGAGTCATACAAACTTATCCACATGGAACTCAATCTTCAAATGTTCTCTTCAAGCCACATAACTTTTTTTTTCATTGCATAATCTCTCTTTCTTTATTTCCTTTGCACAATTTTGCTTCTTTTTTTTTTCCTTTTTTCCTTTTTTCCTTTTGTTTGTTTTCTTTTCTTTTTTCAATGAAAGAGATTGCAAATTAAATCAGTATATTCAAACATCTTCCGATCTTCTCAAGATTATTTGAATTCTCATGTGAAGAAGCTCATACAATCCTCGAATTCAAGGTTCAAAAGAGGGGAAATTAACAAATGGGATTTGATATTTGCTTGTACCATGGTTAATTTCAAACAAAAAAGGCTCAGGCTCAAAATTAGCTTTCTAAGAATGATAATTAGGGTAGGCTCTTTACGAAAGCTAAAAGTGGTTTCACTTAAATGCCCTTATCTTTCTTGATGCATCCAATTCTAAAACGTGGTCTTCGACATGTATAACAAAGCAAGTTCTAGAAAAAATCAACTATGTATGGCAATCACTCAATCAAGAAATGGAGCATGCTAAAAATGAGTGCTCATTGGCCCTAAAACTCGTAAAAAGGGTAAACATGTATTAAATCCTACACATTTTTCATTTAATCAATCATCATGAGTAATCAACCAGTGTGTAGCAAATAAGAATTCAACTACTCAAGCTAATCCCCCATTATGCTTCAACTTAATTCGATAATTCAAAACAATCCAAATCATATAAGAACAAACATCGAAAGAGTGAAATTTCGAAGAGAAAAATCACAAAAAAAGAACTAAAGCATACTTGTTTTTTTCTTCAAAAAATTGAAGCAAAATTATGTTCAAAGTAAAACCATGTATGAAATACTCTCTCCCACACTTAATTCATACATTGTCCTCAATGTATCAAAAGTAGATGCTCAAAAACTATAAAAGAATAAGAGTAGAAAACTCCCCTGAAAATGTTGAGCATTAACCACGGTATCTGTCACGAGCTGGGGGTGAAGGTGTTGTGTGTCGGCTGGGTTGGTTCTCGGACTGAGTGGAGGGGTGGGTCGGGTGGAGCGGAGAGGACGACTGGTGGCGCACATTCTTCTGAAGGAGCACAAAAAATAAAGAAAAGATAAGGCACATTTATATTTAAAAAGTTTCTTTGAATCTTGTTTCCTGAACCAGAAGTGGTGTTGAGTTTAGACGTGGGCATGTCTTATGCAAAAACATCTTCTAGATAGTGAGAGACTTTAGGAATAATTCTGCTTTTGTAAGGCGTGCCCATGGGTTACAAAAATTCATCTTCTGACCTAAAGAGGAAAACAAGATTAATTGTACTCCAAAAAATCAAGGAAAAAATAAAAATAAAATAAAAAAAATAAAAAGAACGAAAATAGAAATTGAAAAAGGAAAAATTGGGTTGCCTTCCAAGAACGCCTTTCTTTAACGTCTTTGGCTAGACGTTGTAGCTTCTCAATCATTTTAAGTTGGGTACTTCAAAATGGTTTGACCAACAGTATGCACCCGAGGACCTTCATAAAAAGGTTTCAAACGATGATCATTGACCTTAAATATTTGACCTGTATCAAAACTTTGTGTTTCAACAATAGAGAAAGTTTTCCTCCACCTAATAGCTTCCTTGAACTCTCTAAGCATTCGAATCAACTTTTCTTCTTCTAAGCGAGAGAGTTTGTTGGGAATGATCACCAAAATATTTTTCTCTTCTCCTAAATATACATACTTCAGATGATTTGGCAAATGTTTCGTTTCCAATTTTGGTCACTGCACAAGAGAAGGAAGAAACTTGGTGTGAGAAATAGGTGACTCAATATAAGATACATCACACCTCATGGGTTTAAGTGATTATAGTTCTTGGATTGTATATTGCAAATCAAGATCCAACACAGAATTTTTCATGATTTCATACAACCCTTCAGAAGTGAAATTCATGTAGAGTGTATCTTTGAACTTGTCATCTTCATTTTGATCAAAAGTTTCCTGTGCTAGAGGGTTAATAACATCCATGAAAAAAAATAGAGGATATGTCACTGGGACATCTCATGGCGTCATAAATATTGAATTTAATAATTTCACCATCAAATTTCATGGTAAGTGTACCATCATCTACATCAATTTTTGTCCTAGCTGTTTTCAAAAATGACCTTCCTAACAAAATTGATGTTGATTTATAAGAATCATCTTCTTGCATATCAAGAACATAAAAATCTACAGGAAAAACCAATTCACTAACTTGCACCAAAACATCCTCTAAAACTCCCTCAGGATATACATTAGATCTATCAGCAAGTTGAAGAATCACTCATGTTTCTTTCAAAGGACCAACATTTATAGATGAATAAATAGAAAGAGGCATGATATTTTTTGAGGCTCTTAGATCTAACATTGTTCTCTCAATCCTAACATTACCGAGTTTACAAGGGATAGTAAATATACCTGGATATTTTCACTTGGGGGTTAGTTTTTTCTGGAGGACAACTGAAACATTCTCCCCCATACTTACCTTTTCATTACCCTTGAGCTTTTTCTTATTGGTGGATAATTCTTTAAGAACTGTATCATATCGAGGTACTTGTTTAATTACATCAAGTAAAGGAATATTTACCTCAATCTTATGAAATGTCTCAAGAATTTCTTTCTCTTCTGCTTCTTTCTTGGACTTAGCTAATCTAGAGGGAAAAATGAGGATTTATGACAAATTCCTTCGGTTTTTCACTTTTGAGTCCTTTAGGTTGGTATTTCTGAGTCTGAGGAGCAACAACTTCCTTTTCAGTTTCTTCCTCTAAGGCTCTCCCATGTGCTAATTGACTAGGTTCCTTCAAACTCCTTCCCACTTCTCAATGTGATTGAACTAACATTTTACTTTGGATTAATAATGGTTTATGAAGGTAACTTACCTTGGGATTCTAACCGACTCACGGAGGATGCCAATTGACTCATTTGATTCTCCAAATTTTGTATGCTTGTTATTGTCTCTTGCTGAAATTGTTGTGTATTTGTTGCAAGTGATTTGACAATTTCTTCTTGAGACATACCTGGCTTTGAAGAAGACTGCTCAGGTGGAAAGCGATGGGATTTCGATGGTCTTGGTCCATAGCTAAGGTTAGGATGATCCCTCTATCCTATATTATAGGTATTTAAGTAAGGATCATATTTCCTTTGTAGAGGATCGGGAAACCTTCCAACTGCATTGGCGTACTCATGAGAATCATCTTGAAGTGTAGGGCACATGTCAGTTGGGTGACCGATCGCAGCACATATCCCACAAGCTTTCACTTGCTGTGTTTTTCCTACAACTAGTTGTTGAAAAAATGAGGTGAGATGCGATAATTGATGTTCAATGGAGGACGAACCTACCTCATTCACCCTTATTGAAGATATGTCTTTCCTAAAGCCAAATTGTTGTGAATTGGCGGCCATGATGGAGATCAATTCCCTAGCATCATGAGGAGTCTTGTTCACTATGGCACCTCCATTGGTTGCATCCATCATCTTCCTCTCCATGGGTAGTAGTTCTTCATAGAAATATTGGGTGAGAAGTTTCTCAGAAATCCCATGTTGAGGGCAGCTTGGACACAGTCTTTTGAATATTTCCCAATACTCGTGTAGGGTCTCAGTATCTTTTTGTTTTATTTCATATATCTCCCTTCGAATGCCAGCGGCTCTTGAAGCAGGGAAAAATTTATCAAGAAACATCCTTACCATCTCGGCCCAAGTAGTTACAGAACCAAGGGTAAATAGAAGAGCCAATCTTTAGCTCTATCGGTTAGCGAGAACAAAAAACACGCAGTTTTATCTGCTCTTCAGTCACTCATTGCGGTCTCATACTTGAACATACCACGTGGAATTCCTTCAAATTCTTATGAGGATCTTCATTCTCAAGTCCATGAAAAGTAGGCAACAAATAAATCAAACCATATTTTAATTCAAAAGCTACCTCCAAAGCTGGGTAGTCAATGCAGAGCGGTTGTTGATTCACATTTGGTGCAACCAATTCTCTTAGAGTTCTTTCTTCGTTGGCCATTGTTCCTTCTATTTCAGAATCACTGGATGAATCAACCAAGTTGAGTGCAGATTCCAATTCAGGGGATGAAGAATAAGAAGCTTGTTTGTCGCGCAAGTTAGTTTCTTTTCTTAACATGCGAGCGGTCTTCTTGATTTCAGGATCGTATTGGAGTTCACCTGCACGAGAAGAACGGGGCATTAAAATACGTCTAAATGACACCAATCCCCGGCAACGACGCCAAATATTTGGTGGGTGTCGAATCCAACAAATAATAATACTTTCTTTGAGAAATATAAATTGTAGTAGCGATAAGCAAGGTCGAATCCACAGGGATTAGGTAGACTTATTTTAATGAAAATTAAAACAAATAAAGGGGGTTTTGAAATTAAGAGAAATCAATATCAAGCAAATATCCAACTAAAGGTATAATTTCATAATTTGTTCAGAGAATTGATCATAGATGCAATGATAAAATCTTTACTTTTCACTAAATTGGTTATGGTTATTGAGAAGCTCTAACAACATGTCTCTCCTTAGTTTCTTGATAATCAAGAGAAGCTCTTTGATTATTTCCCTTGTTAATGAACAACCCTAGACAAGTTCTTAAGATTTAATCCACCAACAACATTAACCACTAGAGGGACCACCAATTATAGCCAACGAATAAACAAGCTCTATTCATTTAGACTAGGTTATATATCTTCATAACATAATCAAAATCAACTATGTTACTTTACCACTAATATTAGAACGTTTAAACAACTACAGATTTAAAGTTCTAAATGGCAATTTATCAACCTGATAATTGAACAACGGGCCCTTTGCACAATCAATCAAGACAATAATTCTTAATAAAAACAGAAGATATATAAATAGCAAAGAAGTAAAGGAACAATCAAAATTAATTAGATCTCACAATCATTGAAGAACCAAAACTTCAATTATCCTCTAGTTGGAAGAAAAGTATTTAGCTGCTCATAATTGAAAGAACACCAGAAGAAAAAATTAAAGAAAACTTAATGAAAAACTTGATGTAAAACTTATGCCTCCTATGAAAGCCCTAGCTCCTCTTTTATAAGGATTTTCCTATTCTAGATAAGGAAATTTCTCTTAAAGAAAATCCCACAAAAATAGGGGTTTTAAATGCCCTCATCATTTTCTAAAGATAAGAATAATTCAAAAGAGTCTTCCAGCCATCATTAAACTCTTTTTCCCATGTAAATTCATAATCCTAATTTAGGGTTATACAGACTGGTAAGGCACGCCCACGCCTTAACTGAAGACTTCTTCTGCGATAGCTCAGGATGTATAAGTCGTGCCCGAGCCTTATACGAAAACCTCTTTTGGTCTTGCCAACTTCTTGAATTCCGACTAAAGGTATAATTTCAAAATTGGTTCAGAGAATTGATCATAGATGTAATGATATAATCTTCTACTTTTCACTAAATTGGTTATGGTTATTGATAAGCTCTAACAACCTGTCTCTCCTTAATTTCTCGATAATCAAGAGAAGCTCTTTGATTATTTCCCTTGTTAATGAACAACCCTAGACAAGCTCTTAGGATTTAATCCACCAACAGCTTTAACCAGTAGAGGGACCACCAATTCTAGCCAATGAATACACAAGCTCGATTCATTTAGACTAGGTTACATACCTTTGTAATATAATCAAAATCAACTATGTTACTTTACCACTAATATTAGAATTTTTAAACAATTACAGATTTAAAGTTCTAAATGGCAACTTATCAACCTGACAATTGAACAACGGGCCCTTTGCACAATCAATCAAGATAATAATTCTTAATAAAAACAGAAGATATATAAATAGCAAAGAAGTAAAAGAACAATGAAAATTATTTAGATCTCACAATCCTTGAAGAACCAAAACTTCAATTATCCTCCAGTTGGAACAAAAGTATTTAGCTTCTCATAATTGAAAGAACACCAAAACAAAAACTTAAAGAAAACTTAATGAAAAACTTGATGTAAAACTTATGCCTCCTATGAAAGCCCTAGCTCCCATTTTATAAGGATTTTCCTATTCTAAATAAGGAAATTTCTCTTAAAGAAAATCCCACAAAAATAGGGGTTTAAATGCCCTCATCCTTTTCTAAAGATAAGAATAATTCAAAAGAGTCTTCTAGCCGTAATTAAATTTTTTTCCCTTTTAAATTCGTAACCCTAATTTAGGGTTGTACAGACTGGTAAGGCGCGCCCACGCCTTAACTGAAGACTTTTTCTGTGATATCTCAGGATGAATAAGCCGTGCCCACCCCTTATGCGAAAACCTTTAATGGTCATGCCAACTTCTTGAATTCTGATTTTTCCTCCTTTATTTGGGGATTTTGTGAAGATCGTGCTAATCATTAGATTTTGAACTTATTTTATCCAAATCTTCAACCTAATCCACAAAATATGAAATATAATCAAAATTCATGATTTAAGCAATTTTAGTTATTCAAATATGAGGAAAATATCATAGAATATATGTCGAATATGCATCTTATCACAATACGCACAACGCTAGAGAGATATTGCCACCCTAGTGTATCCACCACTTGTTGAGAGAGAGTTCATAACAATGTTCATAGATATGTTAAAATCTCTCTATATAGATCATATGTTAGGGGTTGCAACCAAAAGCTTCTATGATATTGTGACGTGCGGTGAAATGATTGAGAGAGCACTAAAGAAAGGGCAAATAACAATAGCCAAAATCCTACAAAGAAGCCATATGTGAAAAAGAAAGAAGGAGAAGTGAACAATGTAAATTTATCCATGAACAAGACAAAGACTGGAAATTCTTCATCGCAAGGGGAAACTCAGCGTGAGAATAACGCTGAAAGGATGTCATTCACTCCAATACCAATGACCTAAACTTTTCCAGAGATTACTCCAAGCCCACGTAGTGTCACCAAGATTCATAGATCTGATTAAACCACCTTATCCAAAATGGTACAACAAAAATGAGAATCTAATACATTGCTGGTCACCACTCATCAAGGTCCTAACCACTGTCGATTGCTATCATCGGTCATTGTCGACTACCATCTTCAACATTCATTAAACCATTAAATTTTTATTTCATCCCTTTTGACCTCTCAAACGAGAATCTAGGTTCATTTTATCGAAAAATAAAAGATAGAAAATTGAAGAGTTAAAAAAATAAAATTTGAAATGATGTATAAAAAATTAAAAAGTCAAATTAATTTCTTTTGTAATTAACTTCATTTTTTAATATACATGTGAACCTATTATTTTTTTGACATCTTCAAATAATGATAATTATCAATATTAAATTATAAATATATCAAATTAAATATTTTTATTATAATAGTAATAATAATCTGAAAACTGAAATTTAAGAGATTTGACTGAAGGAAAATATAGAGATCGCCCTGATTGCAGGTTTTGTGAAGGTAACGTGGCCATTGCAATTTCAAGCAATACATGGAGTAGAAAACTGGAGACTTTCCACACAAAAAAGGTTGATTGTTGATATTTTTTATCTCTTATTTTCTGGTAAAATCTAAAATGGATATTAGATTTGTGTTTGAAAGATTAAAAGGTAGTGAATTAAAATTTTTTGGCATCCAACGGCGATCGTCGATGATAGTCAACTATGATAGGTGACAACAATCGATAATGGTGATGAGTGGCGGCGGCCTATGACATGAACTTTGATTTGATTCAGGGTCAATTGATGTTTTATACAAAGTTTAAGGATCAAATTAGTATTTTATGTAAATTTAAGATCAAATCACTATTCTGTCTAAAAATCAGAAATTAAATTAAAATTTAACTACTTTTACTAACGTATCATATTAGTAAAATAACGAGAGTTAACATCCTATTAATTAAAATAAAACGAACTGAAACTAAAAGTGATCAAAACTAATATTTTTTCAAATCGATGATCAAAATTGAATAAGTAAAAAATATAAGGGACAATCGATGTTGTTTATCTTTTAAAATTCGAGATATTATTTTATGAGATTAAAAATGTTATTATTTTATGAATGACAATAAATATTTTATGAGAGCTTATATTTATAAAAGTTAAATTAGCTAATGATTAGAGTTCCGATGTTAAATACTAAAACTTTATAAAATCAAATGAGTTTAATGATTAAATGAATTATTATTATATCTAACTGTTTTATATTCAAGCATCAATGATTACAGAATATTCGAGTGTTTAATAATTAATTGAGAATATTTAAAATAAATATTATTACTTAGAATTATTTTAGATTAATAAAAAATAAAATTTTATAAATAAATGTGTTTATTTTATATTTAATTTAAATATTAATTATTATTAAATATACTTACTCTCTTTTAATAAAATCACTCTTATTTTTTATTTTTTATTTATCTAAAATGATTATAAATAATATATATTTTAAAGATTTTTAATTATTTAACAGTAAACTTTTAAATTTCTTGTAATCACTTGAACCCGAAAGGTTTATGGATAAAGACATAAAACCACTCTTAATTAAAACAACGACTTGCAAATTCATTTTACAACTGATTACCTAAATTTTATTTGGAATATATGAATGGTGTAAACTAGTTTATTAATTGTTTTTATAAATTTAGACTAAATATAAGATAATATTCGTAATAATTTGTTCAAAGATTATTAATTTTTTGATAATAAACATTCAAACTTAAAATATTTAAATGCACC